GATGTCAAATAATGTTGTTGTCAAAGCAATTTACAAAGAATTTTTTATTATGTTTTTTTGTATTTTATTTTATTTATTTAAATTAAATAAAATAAAAAGAGTAAAAATAGAAATAAAAATAAAAAGCAATATAAAAAAAATGCAATTCATTTGAATTAAAGATAATAAGGTGAACAGGATAAGACATACTAAATAAAGCACACAACAGACTTCTCCCCCTTTTGAAATCACTAAAAAGAGGAGGAAACAAGGTGTCCAAGGGCTAAATTTTGTTTTGAAGAATATAACCTATAAGGTGTCCAAGGGCTAAATTTTGTTTTCTATGGTTGGTAGGGAGGCGGGCTAAGGTCATGTTTCACATATAATCAATGATAAAATCAGCCTCATAAGATTTGGTGTTTGACATGATAAGGTAAGTAACGACAGATAAGATTGGGGTCATACAGATTTGGTCACCAACTTTGGGTATGATTGAAGTGCGAAGGATGTGTTGAATAATTCGGGCATTTCAGGTTAAGGATTAAATAAGAGGCTGGTGTTGATAAAAAGAAAAATTCATTTATGAGAAAGGAATGAGCACTAGGGCCTTCAATAGACAACCCAACGATTTAGACACGTTGTCGGTAGAGAAAAGAGTTGAAGGTTAGGGTTTCAACACTAAAAGTTAGGTTAGCTAAGAATTCAAATAAAAGTTTAGAATTATACGAGAAGGCCAGGGTAAGGAAGAATTGAAGAGTGGTGGATGCGAATAGGCTCATTACCTTACAATTTAAGGCAGCTTGATTTAACATCCGAGATAGTGTGATTTTGTATGCCTTGAATTTATGGTAGGCTTCTTTATCTTGGGGGGTCTGGAAACGATCATTGGGACATCGAGAGGAAGATGAGCTTCAAAGGACTAGACGATTGCGCTTGCTAGAGCTTGACATTTAGTGAAAGTAGGTGAGAGTGAGGGAATTGGCTAAAGAGTGAGTGAGAAGAGCTTTGGATTTATAGACTTTTGGATATATTGTATAGTAAAATTGTAGATCATACAGTATGAATGGCAATAATGTTGTCTAGACAAACAGTTGGGAAAATGTGATCAAATCGTACAATACGATGGGCATCATATAGTACGTTATGAAGGAATTTTGATCATCATGAGGGTCGTCGATACGACCTTTGACAAAAAGCGTTGTATAGTATGGGCGACAGTTCATACAGTACGAATGGTAATTATATCGCATCGACCCGATTAAAGTCATCATCATCCATTTTGCTAACATGGATTATACAGTATGAAGCGAAGATATCATATAGTATGAAGGGCAATAATGTCATACCAAATGGCTTTAATTCATCCCAATCTATTGCTGACGCGGATCGTACCGTATGAAGAGGATATATCATACAGTATGATGTGCAATTATATCGTACCACCCGATTTAAATGCACAGCCACATGTATCGTACAATACAATGGGTATCATACAGTACGATGTGCAGAGAAAAAATTTAGGCTAGTTGTGATTTGTGTAGCTTTGATATATCATACAGTACAAAAATGAATCATATAGTACGATGAAAAAAAATTATCTATTTTCGAGTTTTGTATGGTGAGTGTGTGATGATCTGGAAACACCTTGACAAAATGAAATTTATTTATTTTATTTTTTATTTAATTTTTTATTTAATTTTTTAATTTTTTATTTTTTATTATGCATTAATGTCTATGACACCAAGTCTTTTCCTCAAAGTGCTAAAGGTGTCATAGGCTAGTGGTTTCATTAAAATGTCTGCCAATTGATCTCTTATAGCTATGTGATGTAATTCTGTATCTCCTTTAGCTTCATGATCTCTTATGAAGTGATGTCTAATATCTATGTGTTTTGTTCTAGAGTGTTGAATTGGTTTTTTAGAAATATAGATTGCACTCGCATTATCACACATGATTTAGATGCTTCCTATGGGAAATCAAAGATCAAGAAGTTACTATTTTAATAAAAGTACTTGTGCAACACAACTTCCTACTGTAATATATTCTACCTCGGTCGTGGAGAACACTATTGAATTTTGCTTCCTACTGGACCAAGAAACTAAAGATTGTCCTATGAATTGGCAGGTACCAAAGGTACTTTTTCTATCTACCTTATATCCTACAAAATCAGAATCTGAGTACCCTAATATTTCAAAAGAAGTGCTGTGCCTAGGATACCAAATTCCTAAGTTCGGGGGTGCCTAGTAGATATCTAAGGATTCTCTTAACTGCAGTTAAGTGAGACTCTTTAGGATCAGCTTGAAAATGGGCACAAAGGCACATACTAAACATTATGTCCAGTCTACTGGCAGTCAGGTAGAGGAGAGATCCGATTATTCCTCTATATTTTTTCCGGTTTAATGATTTTTAATTCGGGTCTTTATCTAGTTGAATTATAGAGCTCATTGGAGTGTTCATGGTCTTAGCACTATCTATTTCATATTTTTTTCAGAACATTCTTAATGTATTTCATTTGGCAAAGAAATGTTTCATTATCCATTTGTTTTACACTAAAGCTAAGAAAGTAATTAAGTTCTCTCATCATGCTCATTTCAAACTCATTACTCATTATTTTTGAGAATTCATCACATAAATTTTTATCTGAAGATTCAAATAGAATGTCATTCATATAAATATGAATAATGAGAATTTCATATTTAACCTTTTATAAAAAGAGTGTGGTATCCACACTACCCTTAACAAATCCTCTATCAAGTAAGAATGAGCTAAGTCTTTCATACCATACTCTAGGTGCTTGCTTTAACACATATAATTTTTTTTATTTTTATTTGAATATATGGTTTGAAAATTGTGAACTTTCAAACCTATGGGGTTGCTCAACATAAACATCTTCTTTGATTACCCCATTCAAAAAAGTACTCTTTACGTCCATTTGATATAGTTTAAAGTTTTTGAAGCAAGCAAAGGCTAAGAGCACCCTTATGGCTTCTAGTCTAACTATTGGGGCAAAGGTTTCTTCAAAGTCTATGCCTTCAAACTGGTTATACCCCTTAGCTATAAGTCTGGTCTTATTTCTTATTATGGTTCCTGAGTCATTCACCTTATTTTTAAAGACCTATTTTGTTTCAACTACACTATATTCTTTAGGTTTATAGACTAACTCTCAAACATCATTCCTGGTGAATTGGTTCAATATTTCTTGCATTGCTAGGATCCAAAATTCATCTCCTAAAGCTTGATTTATACTCGTTGGTTCTATCATAGAGAGGAATGAGAATAACTAACCTCCTTCCTAAGTTTGTGCCTAGTTCTCACACCTTCTGATGGGTCTCCTAAAATTAATTCTTTAAGATGAATAAAAGGGTATCTTCATTCTCTAGGAAAATCTTCCTGAGGTTCTACCCTTTCTCCTATGGCCATAGTTTTTACTCCTTGTGTTGCCTATACTTCATCTTCTTCAATTTTTGATTCAAAGGGCTTATCTGATTCATCAAACACTACATGGGTGGACTCTTCTACTACTAGGGTTCTCTTATTGAAGATTCTATAGTTCTTACCTACAGATGAATAATCTAAGAAGACACCCTCATCAGACTTAGGATTAAATTTTCCTAAGGGAAGTTTGTTATTAATTAAGATAAAGCACTTGTAACCAAAGACAAGTAAGTGTGAAAGATTCGGTGTCCGACTCTTAAGGAGTTTTATTCAACTTCGATCTAATGTTCACCCTATTTAAGACATAATATACCTATACGCCATGGGAAACTAATCGAAGATGTTGATAGAAGAACATCAATAAAGATTTCCATAATTAAAGCCAACAATAGATGTTACTCTATAGGATTCTGAAGAGGGGAGGGTGATAATTGTCTCGTTGGTGGAGGAACATGACAGATTCGCACTCACTCCTGCTGTTCTGCAACTATTGGAGCTACTTTGAAAAGTAAAAGGGAATTTGATCTCCATATCTCCACACATGGAGGAAGGGCAGTCATTGGAGAGGGCATAGGCTATTGGGAAGATCCCAAGCAGGAGAAGATGGCACCATGGCATTGCAAAAATGGTGAATTGGGAACAGCAACATTGCCCATCTTGAAAATGCACTTTTTAATCAGTATTTATTTCATTAGATGCATCTTCTGAAATTGACTATTCCACCAAAAAGACTATAATGGTCAATTGTATTAAGCAAAAGTCTTATCACCGCATTTATGGAGCAAGGTAGTTTTTTTTTTTTTTGAAAATTCTAGCTTAATGGTCCCCAAATCAAGTCAATTGAAGAAAATGAACAGTACTGTTCAATTGTGTTGAGCAAAAGACTTCACCGCGTTAATGGGCAAGCACAGACTTTGAAGAAGAAGAAGACGATGAATAATTTTATGTGTCGAATACGAAATGAGATATTTGAGATGGTTTGGAATTCCATGTTTTGAGAAGTCCAGCTTATTATAGTAACAAAATTATCTGATGGCAACTAGGGACCTGTGTTGTTCCCTTTGGATGGCCTGTGGTTTTTGTTCTAGGGACTGCTCTCCGCATGGATTTGGTTCTTGATTTTGTCTCACTGGCAACCAGGGAAAGAGTGCTTTTGCTGATATAATCTATGATTGATAAGCTCCTTCGCTTATTTTGTTAGTTCCTTTTTCTTGAGTCCTATCTTCTTTTTGACCCTTTTCGGGTTCTTGTATTTTGATTTTGTTTTGTTTTGGTTCTGCTCCATTTTTTTAGGGGTTATTCTCTTTTTGTAATATTTTTGGTTTAAATATACGGGCCAAGTCCCAAAATTTCCCTAAAAAAGAAGAAGTAACGACTACAATGACATAGCACCATCAAATGGTCTCCAAGTCATAGTCAATTGATGAAAAGAACGTTAACTTTCCTATTTCAACAAAATAAAATCACCTGAGAAATAAAGTGCCGATTGATGGTTAATTGTACATATTTACTCATACTTGATGTTTTTTTGTATATTAGTTTCTTTGTTTGCTATAGGTCTTATCTTCAATATAACACCTATGTTTAACTTTGCGCTTGTGGTAATGACACAGGCAATGGGGTCTTAGCCGAGTCGCATCTATTGCTGGTTAAAAACTTTTTCCAAACCACCTCAAAGGCCTGGCCTCGCACCTGGCCTTAGAGAGTTTCTGGAAGGGGAGCCCTACTTGGGGCATCACTATTTATAAAAAAAAAAAATAGTCCAGCTCTCCTATCATTTTAGGTGCAATGTGCATCATTTATTAATTATTTATGTATTACTAATCCATAATCACTAAAAAGATTTTATATTCATTCTTTTCTTGGAACAGTGAATGCATCTCCACTATAACCTCTGAGTTTATTTTGAATTTATAATAGCAGTGGGACTTTTTTTTTTTAATGCAGATATCATTAAAAGAAATAACCTAATACAATCTACTAAGTGATAGAAAGCCTATCACTATCCTCCTTCAACAAAGAAAAGAATATAGGAGGAACTTTATTACAACTTAACTCTTCCCACAAAAAATGACCCAATAAAGCAAAATTAACATTAAAATAGGCTAACTTATTACAATTACTATTAGCAAAATGAAATAAGAAATTCCCAAAGTCCTTAAGAGAAGACAAGTCTTCCACCTCATCATTATCATAAGAGCAAACAACTTTGCATGCCAAGCCTTGCAAATACTTGATGATATTATAATTATCTCCCTCAGTTATGATACCTTTAGCATCCAACATCCATTCTTAGATAATCTTTCCCAATGAACAGAAAGCCAGCACTTCCAAGTAACCGGTATCCTAATGCATACAACTGAACCCAAAAGAAATAATAAATCTACCTCTGTGATCTCTAAACACACCACCTAGACCAGCTTTATTTGATCGCAATAAAGTTGCATCAATGTTGACTTTAATCCGTTTGGGTGGGGGAGGGTGCCAAGAATGAGAAATAAGTTGAGAAAGCTAGTTAACACCCCAATGGTCCAAAAAATGATTAAACTTCGATGAGATTGACGCTAAGCTAATTGCATTAGAATCTATGAAGCCCAAGCCGAGCTCCTGACCATCTTGCACAAATTTGTTTCTACTTTTCCAAGAGTAAAATACTAAAGAGCAATGCAGGTTTGCAATAAAAGGGTTAACCTTCGATAACCTTTCCAATTTAATCTTACAATCCATGAAGGAAGATAACTCAGGAATAGGAATACCCCATTTATTCAACAACGTTATAGCTTGAGTTAGCTTGGAACATTTAACTACAACGCGATCTATATTTTCCACCATTATACACCCTCTTGGACAATAATTATGAAAGTTCGTTCGGGATGTTAAGCCCTATGAACTTAGTCCCAAGCTAACCAGAGGGGGTGAATTGTGGTTATTTTAAAACTCCTTTTACGAAAGAATAAAAATTGCATAAACAAATCCACCAACAGAAATAAATGCGGAATTAAAAAGTGTGAAGCAAAGAAAACAAAACAACAAGAAATTTTATAGTGTTCGGTCAACTCGACCTTAAGTCCACTCCTTGGAGGCACCCTCCAAGTATTGCACTACAAAATGTGACTCTCCTTTAGCCCACAGCTAGGCGGAGAAGCCCTCACAAGAACTCCTTTTGCACCCACAGCAAGGCAAGAGAACATACCTCCTTTTGCTTCCTCCTGAAGCTTGGCAGAGAACCACAAACCAAAAAGCAAAACTCCTTACCTCTACCGACCCTTCCACGGACGAGAAACTCTAGACGAAAGACAAGCAGAGCGATCCTTGAAGCAACCCTTGTGATCCCCTCACAAGCTCCCCTCACAAGATCCTCTCTATCTCCCTCTCCTCTTGTTTCTTCCCCTCAAAGGTTCTTCGGTCCTCAGGTCAAGGCAAGCAGCCAAAGGTCTTGAAAAACGTTGAACAAGAGCTCTTTAAATAGAAGAGCTCAAGAGGAGCTCATTAATGCAAGTTGCCACATTATCGTCCAGGCCGATATATTCATCGGCCTGGCCCGATCAGTACAAAATTCAAGAAGATCGGCCAGAGCAATCGCCCTGGAATAGTCCTGGACGATTGAAATTTGGCCTGATCGTCCAGGCCCGATTCACGTATCTGTTGATAGTTCAATCAAAGAAAATCATCCTGAGCATTGCCCTGTTTTTGAGCTGGCCGATATTTTAATCGTCCCTGAAGTAATAAGGTTTTTTTGACTGGATTCGTCCCGGCCGAGATCCTGAGATCTTCCCAGAACGATAATGATCGTATCATTAACTTAATTACTCCCCTGATTTCCTGATCCAATTAAGGCATAATTTGGTAAATTTTGTCACAGGCCGATCCTTGATCGTCCTGGGATATTTAAAAATACACTAATACCTTAATTTCTATGGCGTCTTACTTCTTTCTGTTTTGAGCTTATCGTCTTGGGCGATACACGTTCGTTCTAGCCGATATGTTAATCAGACGGTCTGCCTTAATTTAAGAATCCTGATTCGAGTCTCTGTTTTGAACTAATCGTCCAGGACGATCAAAGGGATCGCCTGGCCGATGTGAGCAAAAATAGAGATTCTAAATTCCTCAAGTGCCTGTGTGTGTAGGGTTAACTAAGTCATCAGTCTTCTTGAACCTTACAAAACTGAACTCAAGAAGAAGAAAAAAAGATTACAGATATGACTCAACCCTATGCTACCCATTCTGTATTTGCAGATCGTTTTGTATCGTCCATCTTCGATCTTGAAATTGTTGAAAAAATAGGTCATCCAAGTAAATCAGTTAGGGTTTGCCAATCATCAAATCTAAGCCATGAAATAAGGTTTTGCAACATCTCCCCTTTTCTCATGAGGTAAAACAAAAAAGCAATTCTATTTTTCCTATTTTCCCTCCTTTTGGATATATCAAAAAGAAATATGCAAAAATAAAGAAAGAAAAAAGAATCTCTCCTACAATTTTAATTTTGATTCACAAGCATGAATATGAATATAGTATTCAATTGAATTGATATTTCAAACATGTAGTTAAATGAGTTGAACAAACATCAAAATTCAAAGAAATTAAGAAAAGTATCCGATCAATGTTACCCTAAAGTTGAAGTACTTTTGTAGGGTTAGAAGTTTGTCTTTTGAATCAATGACCTAACTAAACATTTCAATCATATATTAGTATAAAGGATCTACAATCATTCACCTCATGACGTAACAACACACAACCATCTCTTATAGAATCAGGATCAAAGTAAGATACACTCATAATCGCAAAACAAACTCAATCTTTGGTATATGAAAAGCTTTCTTACTAGTTTTAATAAAGATTTGAAAGAGAGAGAAAGCTTGCTTTTGATGGGTCTATTTGATGGCTCTTGTCATTTTGAATCGCGCTTACTGCGACACCTTTTTTATTTTTTCACTCAATTCAATTTAGCGGCATTGCCCTTCTTTTGTTGGCATCATTGCCAAAAATTTTTTAAGCTAGATTCCTCCTTTTAGTCCATCCTTAACAAGGACTTAGTTGTGAGATATCTTCTAGTATTAGGAATAGGGGCTTCTCTCTCTAAACATGGAGAAGAACAATCCACAACAAACAGAATCATGGACATTGTCAAGAGTACTATGAATCTTTGATATGATAAAACGCTTTAATCCCTATAATTCATAAGTGATTTGCTTTAGCAAGATTTAGAAAGACCTTAATTTCATATATAATTCATTAATTTGGAGATAAATTTTTGATTAGAGAAGAAACCACTGTGCCACTCAAATATACTAAAGAAAGAGACACAATCAAACGGAATTTTTTCAATCATCTCAATGGATTTAAGAAAGATGCACAACCATTTGACTACAAATTTTTTAAACAGCATGCAAGGCATGACGATATCATAATTGCGCTGAATTTTGAAAAACCTTTTTTTTTTTCAAAAAAAATAATCAAAACAAACACAACAAATAAAAGGAAACAGCAATCAAAAACAAAAAAACATAAAAAAGAAAGAAAGAAAAGGAAGAAAGCAAGTAGAGAAATCAAGTTCATAATGGCAATTATTCAATCACACCCAATCTGGTCTTATGAGCTGAAATGTATCGAAGGCCAGTGGTTTAGTAGATGTCAGCTAGTTGATTTAGTTGACACAGTTCACCTCAATTTCCACCTTTTGTCACTGATTCTTAATGAAAGTGATGTCTAGATGTCAATGTGCTTTAGTTTGAATGTGGATAGATTCTCTAGAGCTATGCATACTGCACTACGTGTATGCACAAAAATTGAGATAGTGCTTACCGAACTCCCAATCTATTACCTGTTTTTTAATAAACCAAAGAACTTGGCCACACACTTCTAAGAGCAATAGTACTGTCCCTTCAGCAGTACAAGTGCAACTAAGTTTTGCATTACTGCTAGACCATGAGACCCAAAGAACTGTCCCAATGAATTGACAAGTTCCTGAAGTGCTTTTCCTGTCACACTTGCATCCTGCAAAATCAGAGTAAAAATCAACATTTTCAAAAGAAGTCTGTGTCTAGATTCCAAATTCTAAGCCTTGTGTCCCAAAGAGTATCTAAAAATTCTCTTAACTGCAGTCAGGTGACTCCTTAGGGTTCAGCTTGAAATCTAAACACAAAGAAAAACATTAAACATAATGTCCAGGATCAGCTCGCAGTCAAGTAAGTAAAGATCAATCATGCCTCTATGCTTCTTCTGATCAACAGACTTACCACCTTGGGTCCTTACCATGAGCACTAGAATCATGAGAAGAGTTAATCTGGTTGGCCTTTGTCCATCTCATATTTCTTCAATGTCTTTATGTATTTTGTTTGATTTAGAAATTCTATCCTCTCCAAATTGTTTTATGCTAAACCCAAAAGTAGGACAATTCTCCCATCAAACTCATCTCAAACTCTCTAATCATTGTTTAGAAAACTCCTGCACTAATTTTTTATTAGAAGATCCAACAGAGTATGTCATCCACATAAATTTGAAAGCCTGAGTTAATCATCTCGCAATGTCTCTTAGAAAAAGAGTGTTGTCTACACTCCCCTTAACAACTCCTCTCTATGTAAAAATGTGGCTAAGCCTTCATAACAAGCTCTTGGTGCCTGCTTTAAACCATACAAAGCCTTTTTTTAATTATAAACACATGATTAAGGAAATTTGGGAACTTCTCAAAACCTGGGGGTTTGTTCTCAACATCCCTTCCTGTTATTTCC